TTTTTCATCTTGTATGTGCTGTACTTATTATATACTTATGTATTCATTGCTTTCTTGGCTTGAACGGTGAAAATAATTGTGTTTATTGTTTTGTATTTGTTATGTACTTATTTTTACTTTAATCGCACATCATATGAAGTATGAATTTGTGGTGTTTTTTTCTCTTTTGTCCGGTACATGCGTTAAGAAATAATTTGCTATGTCGCTCCTTGTGTTCACTATGACTGTATGAAACACTCACCCCAAACAATCTTTATGCCAGTTATTGTTTGACTATGTCCCCTTGTAACTGCCCACCTGCTTGGACCTAAGGGTCTGCAGTATGTGGTAAATAAATAAATAAATAATGAAGAAGACGATGATGATCGGTGGCTGTAGTAGTAGCTCGCGCACGCTGCTCGCCATTAGCCAGACCTGCCTGATAAAGCACATTTTTGCCAAGCTGCGTCTGAACCTTTCTCGACGTACACCACCTCTATTTTAATATATATATATAATTTATATATATATATATATATATATATATATATATATATATAATATATATATATTATATACACACACACACACACACACACACACATTGACACATTGTTTTCAGAGCTCCAGGACCAGAAAACTACTTTTGGTTTCGAGAAAAAAAAAAAATTGGAAGTGTCCACTGAGCTGCCACAGTTACTTCGGATTTCGTGAAAATGATATTTCGATGACATTCCACAAAATAACTGTTGTAGCTGTAGGTCTGAATAGCTTAGGCCACATACTAAGAATAGTTTTTTTTTTTAATAAACAGTTATTACTTTGTAGTTTGAGCGCTATTCTCTCAACTGAAAAAATTGCGAATTTTAGATTTTTTCCCTCTATACATATAAATGTCAGACTTTCCAAAAATTTCTAGAGCACTGCCACGTATTCGCTGAACAAATTTGCAGAACATGATTACTCAGAGTGACATCAAACGTTAGCAGAAGCATTTCACTGAGAACATGTCTCAGAAAATGCAATATTTTAAAGACCATTAATAAAAAAAGCCATCTTTGATTTTCTTTTTAGCATTCTTCCAAGACTCTGGCACTCTGCAAAGAGGCAAAGCTGCTCGTGAGGATCAGGTAACAACAGATCTACTGAAAGATGGAGGACAGATTGTGTTAGAAAAACTAGCCACCCCGTTTACGAGGTGTCTCCTGACGGAAGAGTGCCAGAGTCTTGGAAGAACGCTAACATCATCTTAATACTGTGAGAAGATGGGCCTGCAGCAAGCAGCACCGCCAACGCCCGGCTCTCTCGGCTCGTGCTTCAGTTCGTTGTTGTGCCGATCGCTGGACGGTTCTTCACGCTGTCTCGTCGCTGTCTTTAACGGCTATTAAACCTTGTAACCTTTGAGTGTTTAATGAATGTTCGGGTAATTATACGGGGAATCCTTTACAATCACAACGCAACCCGACCTTCCACCCATCGCTAGCAGGCCACACACCCGATCATTCCCTTGTGCACAGCGGACGATGTAGTGGCGCCTCAGTTCTGTCGCTTTGATGTAAGCGCTGGGACACACACTCGCAATGTGGCCAGTAGTTTGTTGGAAGCCAGTTGAGACAGGCTAGGTAATCTTTAAAATTCATTTGTGAAAAATTTGCATATCTCTTCAGCCTGAGTTGGAGACGAATGATGAAAACCTGCAAATGAATGTACTCAGCGAATTTCACTGATATCTAGTACTGATATTTGGAAACTCCAGGTGCTTGTTAGATAGTCCTGCATTCTGACCAATTATGGCTAGCAAACATTGCCTTTAAGATATTTTACTTTTGTTTTAAAGCGTGAGTTCTCATCTGAGTTTTCAGAACCTTGTGACATTGCCTCTAATATTGCCTCGTGTGATGTTCCATGAAAAGAATGAGTACGTATTTTTAATGTTGCAGAACATACACGTGGTACGCGCAAAACCACGACTGGCTCCCGGCGAGGGATTTTGTTCCTCGCACTTCTTTGTTCTTGGGATGCTCTCTCTTGGGTGGTTTTGGCTGCTTACGGCAGAAATGCTTTTTTTTCCCCCGGGTGCGACACTCTTAGAACACCCACGTTGTTGCATTCTTCTGTGCCCACGTGCCCAAGTGTCACCAAGGCTTGAGTGCACATGGTCTGAGCTACTTTTCCATAGTGGGGCACTGTTTTAAGAACGATAGTCATTCTTGGGGACCTTCGACGAAAAAGAAATTTTGGTCTGTCTGTCTGTCTGTCTGTACATTTGTCTGTTTGTCCACCCTAATCGATTCTTCAAACAGCATTAAACGGCCAACCCCAACCACAGCGCCCACCAATATTGCTCAAGGTTTAGCGTTCATTGTTGTGCGATTGTCAATTAAAAAGCCATTATTGCGCATATCTGTGGCGCCATAACAACGTGTTGATGTTTTGTATGTCTGCCTTTATACTAAAGAAGGCGCACACAAGTAATTCTAAGGACTGTAGCATTTGTCGCGCTGTGCTGACAGTGCAATACGATGTTGAAAAAGGTAAGTGTTTCCAACGCTTTGCTACGACGACATGGTGGCGGCACCTGCCCGTCGCTTTGCGTTCTACACCTTATCACCTCAGAGATTGCGCGAATCTTTCTCCGCGGGTGTGCACGCCTTTGTTTTCGAAGATAACTGCCAGATGGCGCTTGTGTCTAATGTGCTTCGATGCGCTCATTCGTCTCCGCTACACGCTCGAGGCGCTCTAACGCAGCGCCTTCAGAATACAATTCTCCAGTTTTCTCGCGCAGAACATAGAGAAAACATTTTGTCCATTCTCTTCAGGCACAAGACTATCGTCTTTCTACGACATTTGCAATAAAACGTGCATATTCGGGCCAATTTTTTTCTTACGATTTCAGGCCGGTAGTTTAAAGTGATGCTAAAATTTATTGTAATTATTAATGCTTTTTTTCATCATACATGTTGTAGCATTTACAATTCAATTTCTGCATTACCAGACACTAAGCTACAAATTGCATCAAGATGTCTTAAACAAAAATTTCAGTCTGGGGTCATTTAGTGAGCACTGCTTTTTCTGGATATTACAAGAGGCTTTAGTTCAAGTCAGTGAACCTTCCCAGTGACATGCGAGGCTAGACAATGAAAATTACTATCATGGGACATGCTTTTTCTTTTCTTCTGTGAATATATGCGCTAGCTATCATTGAACAAAATGCTTTATGAAGATTGTTGCCTGCTCATGCACACTTTATATGTATTAAATTCGTGTGCGTGTGCAACTTCAGTTGTTTGAGAAACCATGCTTTTATTTATAAGACTTCACATGCATCTTGCATACAATAGCAGCTTTAAGAACCTTTCGTACCATCACTTCTTGTGAAGTTCTTTCTTGCTGGCTGTGCTCAGATAAAAACATCAGTGCATGTCTGCCAACCCTCTCTAATTCTGCACACACAAATATATATATATATATATATATATATATATATATATATATATATATATATCAGAGTTTCCAGGACCAGAAAACCACGTTTGGTTTCCAGAAAAAAAAAATTTGCCGTCTTGAAAAAAATTTGGAAGGGTCCACTAAGCTGTAACTGTTACTTCAGATTTCGTGAAAATGATATTTCGATGAGATCCCACAAAATAACTGTTGTAACTGTAGGTCTGAATAGTTTAGGCCACATACTGAGAATAGTTTTATTTTAAATAAAGAGTTATTATTTTTGAGCGCTGTTCTTTCAACTGAGAAAATTGCGAATTTCAGATTTTCTTTCTCCCTACATATAAATGTCAGACTTTCCAAAAATTTCTAGAGCACTGCCACGTGTTAGGTGAACGAATTTGCAGAACGTGATTGCTGAGAGTGACGTCAAACGTTAGCAGAAAATTTCACTGAGAACATGTCTCAGAAAATGCAATATTTTAAAGTCCATTAATAAAAAAAAAGGCATTTTTGATTTTCTATCAACTCTTCAAATGGCATCGAGCGAGCTCGATGCCACGGTCACTCAGTTTGCATCACTTTTAATATTTTTCGTGCTTTGTAACTCCGTTCTCACAAAAGTAATGCAACATGTTTTTACAAATTGAGTTAGAGCATCTGCTTGGATTCAATTCTGAAGAAAACCGAAGATGGCTCTTTTTCCTATTATTGGTCTTCAAGATATTGCATCATAAAAGACATGTCCTCAGTTAAACGCTTCTGCTAACATTTGACCTCACTGCTGACCCGCAGGTCGCGGGTTTCGAATCCCGGCTGCGGCGGCTGCATTTCCGGTGGAGGCGGAAATGTTGTAGGTCTGTGTGCTCAGATTTGGGTGCACGTTAAAGAACCCCAGGTGGTCGAAATTCCAGGAGCCCTCCACTATGGCGTCTCTTGTAATCATATGGTGGTTATGAGACGTTGATCCCCACATATCAATCAATCATCAACATTTGACCTCACTCTCAGCAATCACGTTCTGCAAATTTGTTCTCACACTTTGCAGTGCTCTTGAAATTTTTGGAAAGTCTGACATTTATGTGTGCGGTGGAAAAAAATTTTTTTAAAATTTAAGCAATATTAGTCTGTGTGCCGATTTCCGGATTTTTTTTTGCTTCTTAAAAAACAGCGCCCAAACTGCAAACTAATAAGGGTTTATCAAAAAAAACTATTCTTAGTATGTGGCGTAAACTTCTCAGACCTACAGTTAGTACAGCTACAACAGTTTTTTTTTTTTTTTTGAGGTTTCATCGAAATGTCACTTACACCAAAACTGAATTAGTTGCAGCTTACTGAACACCTCTGAATTTTTTTAAGAAGGTTTAAAAAGGCAGAAAGTGGTTTCCTGGTCATGGGAATTCGGAAAACAAAACATATTTTCTGGCGAAAAAAGGTGGTCGGTGGACATGCACTGACGTTTTTATCTGAACATATCTGAACACAGCCTGCTTATTGTTTGAACAAGTTCATTATTGCTTACTATTACTGCTGCATCAGTTTTATATTTTGACACCGCACTTTTTATTTTTTACAAGAATGATGGAAGTGAGGCTGACCAGCCAATCACAAGACATCCTAGAAAAAGAAGCACAAGTAGAGTCCCTGAACGCAAAGATTTCCACCGTGAGTTCTATACGATTTCTTTCTTTCAATTTCTGTGTGTGCGTGTGTATGTGCACAGGAAGAAGTAATAGGGGCTTCGTATTTACCAAAGAACCTTGACTCACTTTTGGGGTGCTTTTTCTTCTCTCAGTCATTCGTGCAATCAAGTACACTTGTTGTTTCAAAGCTGGCAAACATGTTCTACTTATGCATACTATACTATGTTCTACAGAAATTGCAGATGGAAACTAAAAAAATATAGTGCCCAGTAATGCTCATACTTTTGTTTTTACCTCCTACAGTTTGGGTCACATTGATGTAATTTTGATCTAACAGCAGTTCTAGTAGCACTTGTCATGCTAACCAAAGATGCCATTGCTGAATCCGTGAGTGCTGTACATAGTGCGATTGTGTTCGACATGGTTCATAATGGTGGCACATACTTGTCAAAATGGGCGACTCTCAATGTGCATGTCATTTAGAGAAACTGCTTTTGGGTATTCATTGGTGAATGCATGCTGTAAAAGAATATTTTCAAAGGTTGTTACTAGTCTCTCATAACTGTGGCTGTATCTTTTAAAATGGTCTACATTTCCTGAATAAATTAGGCTAAAAGTTCCTATGACAGCAGAACAAAATCGCTTGAGAATATGTGCTTGGTTCTTGCTCTGTAGATGACAGAACTTTTTGAGAGAACTAAGCAAGAAGTTGCAGAGACAACCGAGCAGCTGCAGGCAACAGCAGCTGAGCTCCACAGCACGAAGAGAATTTTGGATGCAACAGAGCAGGCAAGTCTCTTGAGCTTTTTAATCTCTGGGCCCAAGCTCTGCTCAACATTGGAGGTTGTACTGATAGTATCACCAGAAAAGTAGTTAAAGGTTGGCATGGACTTTAATTTTCTACACACAAGGTGGTCAGAGGTCCAAAGTAAGTTTGGTGCCTCTGGCTTGTTATTTTATATCTTAAAATGATGGCAACTGTGAGGAATGCTATTAACAGATTTTCCGAAGAAAGAAGTTTATTGGAGTACATTCAATGTAAATATCGCTAGGCACTTCAAATTGGCTCTGAATGAGTCCAGAATTTTTGAAGGACTCTTATTGTTCCTGAGGGCAAGTGTGATTTCATTTGCGCATGGGAAATGGTTTCAGATAATGAGTGATGCTTATTATATAAAATTAACCCGGCAGAGCAAAAGCTTGATGCTCAATACATTTGTCAGGAAAAACATTGTTAGTCGAACCCCTTTATGAGAGATTCTGATGTAAGAGGCAAATGAGTTTAGGAGACACCAGTGGGCCGACATTAGTGATAGAAGTGCTGCTCCAATTGTACCAACCTTCTCTAAAAAATAGTTGCTGCGCCATGGTGCTCGAAAATGCAATACTATTTGTTAGTAACTGCTCCAAACTTGCTCCAAAATGGCATTGGGGAAACTAAAAACAATTGAGTTAAACCATGCGATCATACAGCAAACCTAAATGAAAAACAAGAGCCAGCTGTATACTGTCGTCTAGTATACATCTTGCATAGTAGCTGTATACTAAAATATTGACAATGCTACATGTAGTAGCATTTTTATATATATCTGATATACTAGTTATATATTTGTGCCTGCCTTACAAGCAGGCTATTTTGGTGAAATGCGTGCGAGACTTTCTTGTCATACTAGCCGCTAGTGTGACGACATTGATATGTGACTAATAACATTTAGCACTTTCATCAGCTTTTATCTCATTTATGTCTTAAGAACAAGCAATTTAAAATTTTAAATGTTAGTTCATTTAACCTACTCGATTTTCGAAAAATTCAATGCTGGCTACTTTCGCAAAATATGAGAATAACATTTTGTGTTCAGACCATCCACCTGCCTAATTATGTTTATTGTAATATTCAGTGATTACTGTATGTGCAATATATTAGATAATAAATATGAATATTTGTAAGAGGCTTATTTGATGCATTAAACTCCAGGAGTCATTTGGAATATTTCGCGATCTCCTCCGAAAACACCAATAGCTGCTGCAGGCTAGAGTTTTGTCTGCTCCAAAGACAAGCAAGGCTGCTGCAAAGCGGCATTCTTTTTTTGTCCAGAATCTGCTTCAAAAAATTGGAATGTTTCTTCCGTCTCTGCTATGTTGAAATAGATGTTGCTATCAAAAGCATACGTGGTACCCTGCTTATAAGAAGCGCCTCCTATAAAGGAGAAAAAATGCTCCCCGGTGCATGCCTCTTATAAAGGGATTCAACTGTAAAGGGCTTGTGGACTTTTTTTTTTTTTTTTTTTTTTGAAAGAGCAGATGTATTGTGAAAACTTGCCACAGTGTCGTCTCGAGTAATCATTCTCGTTACCCATTCATTGCATTTGGGTGCACGTTAAAGAACCCCGGGTGGTCGAAATTTCCGGAGCCCTCCACTACGGCGTCTCTCATAATCATATGGTGGTTTTGGGACGTTAAACCCTACATATCAATTAATCAACCCATTCATTGCAGGTGCTGTCAAAAACAAGTGTGGGAAAAGAAGAGCAGGCCTACCTTGTGCAAGCCCACAGCAAGTTACCGCAACTGCTGAGGAGGTAAAAATACTACTTATATTATTACATTACCTTTGAATGGGATAGCATCAGTGAAATATGTACCACTAAGGTTATGACTGAGACTTTGTTGCCTCATTCTGAAAATAAAATTGGGACACAAAAACTAAATTTTCAACCATACACCGCGGATACAGCTAAAGAGTTAATTAAGCAGATCAACCTGTCATCGCAACATGGCCTGCGCACTAAAAGCATGTAAGAAGAAATTATGCAAATGAAACACTCACATTTGTTGTTAGTCATGAGCCTGCAAGCATTTATTACAAGATGAAGACATGAGCTGATTAATGCGATACAGCTTCAGCATACTAAAAGCGAGGAATAGTATAATTTTCAGGAACACTTAAAGTGTCAATCAATATACGGTAAAACCTCGTTAATTCGAACTTGGTTATTTTGAAATCTAGTTTAATTAAACATATTTTCACGGTCTTGTAGATTGCGATCCAAGTCTGAGCGGATAATTTGAAGTGGCTGTTAACACCAATCCGGGTAATTCAAAAACTTTGGGTGCCATGCGCTGATGCCCGATGCATTTTTTGCCGCCAATCCGCAAAAACAGCGGCTCTTAAGAGCCACAAGGTAATGCACTGTAGCGATACAAATAAGTGGCAGCTGAAGCCCCCCAGCCTCGCTACTTCCAACACAAAAAAAAAAAGGGGGGAGGTCAGCTCAAATGTGCGCTTGCAGAAAACAAGTTGTGCTTTGCTGCAACACAGAAGTGACATGCGGGCAGCATGTGGCATGCTTCTCGCAATATCAGCGTGCCATGATTTATCTTTGCTTACTTGAAATATAAAGAAAATAATAAAGGATAGTCTAGCGGAGTTTGTGATGTATGCAAACCTCCAATTGCCAGTTGCTCCAGCAATTTTGGCACTTGCACTCCTGGCAGAGCTCTTGCTCTGCAACATCTACTTAGAAAACTCTGTTCGAATGCTTCAGTGATTATGTTTTCCAGCCAGAACACATCATGAATTTTGTCACACTGGCCATTGTTAAATTCCTTTTTTATATTTATGGCCAGTTGCTGCCAACATGTCATTACTGTGTTTCAGTGAAAATTTCTTCTTCTCCACAGGCATGCATTTCAGTTAATCACAACTTTTTTGTTTATTTTTCGGTAACAGCAGTAATGAGGCCCACAGTTCCCCTGTGTTTGCGGCAAAATTTGGACCAGGTATCGCTGGAAAACAAATCCCTCGGAGTCTTAAACTAGCCAGCACAGCAAACGATTAGTACCGATTACAGTGGACTCCTCTTAAACGTAACTCGAAGTGGCAAGAAAGTTTGTTGCAATTATGAGGAGTTTCATTTAGACAAGGCCCACAAAAATGAATGAAATACGACTTTATTTCAAAAGCACCAACTGTAGATGACTGAACAAAACATTTTGAAGTATACAACACTACCATAGTATTAGAAAAAAATTTTTCTAATATTGCTGACTCGGAAAAAAGGAGGTGATAACAATTGATTGACCTTGTTCAAACACTTTCTCGCTTAGTAGGAGTGCATTGCTGAAAGGCTGGGCAGGAACTTTGTGCCACCGTTGTGTTCAAAGTAGAGGTGCAACAGGATGACAGCATCTCTTGCTGCACTGTCAAGCCACTGAAATGGGCTCGAGATCACACACCATCTCAATACCACTGGAGCACGGGTCCTCATCCTGAACTTCAGCTATAGGTTCCTCAAGGCTGTCCTCAAGTTCACGAAAAGACGTCGATTGCTGCTTGGCATGCGCGAATATGTGCAATCGCTTGATCGGCTTGGCCAGGCTAGCTTTGGCATTTGATTCATGATTGCTAGACTGTCGTGGCCACTTCCGCTTTTCATGGATTTACCCGTTTTAGTTTTATTTAACCGATGTAAGCTAAATAAAATGTTCTGATTACCCAACAATTTTTATCATTAAATATATAGGAGACCAACCAAACTTTTCCTAGGTAGTTCCGTTTATGCGGCTTTTCCAATTAACAAAGCTTCGCTTAATGGGAGTCCACTGTACGTCGAATGTTTCCAAGTTCTTTGCATCCCACTTTTTGTTTGTTTGGGTAAATTGAAAAACCCTGTTATGAAAAGATTTCTCTCAGTCCCAGTGAAATTAAATTAACAAGGTTTTATTGTAGTGTCTGTAGTCTCGTGAAAGCTTGGGCTGCATACAGATCACTTCAGGGATAGAATGGATTAGGAGAATGACCTTTAGCTATTTCCAAGATTCGTTGTTTTAGGGTTCTTCTGTCGTTACTGATTATTAAAAAAATATTCGGTGTGTTGAATATTTTCGAATATGCACTAGCATTCGATCCGATTACCAAATCGAATACAGCACTATTCGATTCGCTAATTGAAATTTTTGAATGTTTGCACACCCCTAATCAATCAGTATTTGTTATGATATAACAGGGTTATTACAGAGCATAAATAATCACACGAGGGTCCCAAAGTACAAGATAGCATTGTAGTGCACCTCATGGGTCTTTATTGTGAAACCAACATAATGTGATGGTGAACCAGCATGTCATAGAAATTGAGTCATGTGAACCCAGATGTACTGCAGTGAGCCACAAGTAACACGTTTCTTCTTTCTAACAGCCAATCTTGCCGTCAACTGCCAAAAAAAGTTCATACAAGTTGCTCTCACTCTGCAATTTTTTACAATTGAGTCTTACCTGTTACAAACTACGGTTGCGAGTGTTCTCAGCGCCCGGTTTGGCGCAATAATGAATGCGGAGTGCCATTGCCTTGCGAGTTCCTTCCTGTTCCCAGAGACAACAAAAATGACTCATGGTGGCTTCTTCGTGAAATCCAAAAATCAACACAATATGGTTTCTCAAAATAATAAAATCTAAACTACACTCTAATCTTCTTAGAACAAACTCAAATCTTACAAGAAAATAAGTTTGTTATATCCAAAAATTCATTATAAAACTTATTGCCAACTCTACTGCAAGACTATTTACTTTGTTATATCTGTGTTTGTTATATTGAGGTTTGAGTGTAGTGAGAAATAAACAATATATATTTGAATTGGTACTCACAAAACTCCTATCAAACTTTTGCGGAACCCAGTTTGAGATTTTGAAACATTGGGTAATGATGGCCGTAGGGAGGGGAAAGAGGGGAATCCGTAGGTTGAGATCAAACCCTACCTCTCTCGAAAACTAGAATGGAATGACATTTTGACACCTGCCACTCGCAGGTGTCATGCTTGCTATTCTAGGCTTGCTTTATCATTAATGCCCCAACACAATGCACATCTATGTTGCAGTGAAGTACGCAACACATGTACATTAGTAATGTTCTTAATTAATGATCAAGAATGTGCTCTCAAAATTTGCAGACTTCCTACTGTACAACTCCAAGTGATGTGATCCCGAACTCCATTTTGTCGTTCCTAACCTGCTTTGAAACGCAAATCTTTCCAGCTCTGAACCTGCTCTTAAACACGGTTTCTTCTGGTACAAATCTGCTTCTGAATAACTTTTTTCCTGCTTCGAAAATTTCTCCAAATTCAAAACTGGCTAAACCATCAGTGATCATTTGTTGTGGCCCATCTACACTGCTGCTACAACTGTTCACACAATGGTGCCTTATTTTTCTTTGTGCTCCAGTTGGTGTGTCAAAAACCACTACAGCTGACATTGACCTGCTACAGCAAAAGCTTGAGCACACTTTCGCCATACACCAGGCGAACAAGGAGCGGCAGTTTGCCTTTGTGTCCACCTTGATTTCGTATTTTGGTAAAATTGAAGCCAGCTTCACCGAACGGCTTGCTTCTCAGCGGAATGTCCTCGGTGGCGTGGGTGGCTCGCTTGGTAAGTGCCTTGCAGCTTAACTATGACAGAACAGTGTTAAGGACTGTGGTGATAGGACAGTTTCTTGTGCCATGCACATTGTGAATTACTGTTGCTAGGGTTATTTCCTTGAAATAAATTTTTGTCATCAAATATTGAATGATGCACAGGTGTCACAGGTCCCGTTAATTAGGGAGGCAATCGCAGGGCTAATTTCAAGGGCCGAAGTATCGGCCCCCCGAACCGCACCACGAAAGCGTGGACAATTTAGAAGTGGTCCTATTTGGCGCACCAGCGGACGCCGGCTGTGGCCCAAAGAAAAAGTCAGAGCCGAGAGTTGATAAACAGAACAAAATTATATTCTCAATTATGGCAGATCAAATCGATACAAAAATATGCACACTCGACAATAGATGAATACGATACGTCACCAATCAAGCAACGTGCTACACAGTACAATCAGCCACACTCGAAACAACGGACACAAACAACAATACACACTACAATGCAGTCGCATGCATCGAACAACCAAGACACTTGAAGACTAAAGAGTTCGAAAAATTATTCAGTCCAAAGTTCTTGGAACAAAAGTCTGAGTGAAAGATTCTCGGAAGAGTATCATTCAAAGTCCAGCGCTGTTGTCATTCTGCTGCCCTCGAAGTTTCTCTTCCAGGAAACCTCGCGTCTTCAATTGGCCGTTCACCAAGCACCAAACTTCTTCGCCGGTAACACGTCGGCTTCCCACACGCAGCTGTTGCCACGCGTCTTGGCTCGCTGGCGGTAGACACACACTCTTTATTGCCTGTAGCACGAGTCTTCACCCCTTAGGTGGAAATCCTCTTCTTCTCCTTCTTTGTCACTGAAGACAAAAGGCTTCACCCACAAGGCGGAACACCCTATACACTCTGGCGTAATATTCCTTCTTCTCTTGCTTTGTCACTAAGGACAAAACTTTCGCCGACGACAAGGCAAAAACACCCTATGCACACTAGCGCTAACTTCGTTCTTCTCCTGCTTTGTCACTGAGGACAAAACCTTCGCCGACTACTCGGCGGAACACCCTACGCACTCTGGCGCATACTTTCTTCTTCTCCTAATCTCCAACCTCTGCTGCTCGGTTAAATACCTTCCACGCAACATTCCAGAAAATTCTCATCGTTTCGTTGGCGCGATACGCAGCGAAGGCTGGAGAAAGCGCGAAACGGTTCGAGGGCCGACCGCGACAGATAACGCAACTCTGCATCACCACGCCCTTTTTCCTCGAGAACCTTCCAGGGCTTGCTCGGCCGCCGATGTAAGAAGGTTCGTCGGCGAGCCTATGCTTCCGAGGGGAGAGGGACGGCGCACCCAGGGAGTCTTTCGATGCTTGTTTTCTTCTTTATCGTTGACTTTGAGGTGTCTCTCCAGCGCTTCGTCGCAAGAATTTGGCGGCGCCCCCTTTTTTGAGCGCTCGTTTTGTGACAACAGGTAAATTCATTCAGCTTCTTCAATTCGATATTGTTGCAGACCTGCCAACCCATGTATATTTTCTTATGTTTACTAAACCGCGCATGTCAAGAGAGCAGCCCCGATAGCTGTTTACTGAAAATTAGGCTTGTGTAAATAGTGAAATTCAGGTTCAAGGCAAATGTGAAACGAATAGTGCTTTGGTTGAATGATTTCAAGTCGATTTTGAATAGTATACATCACATATACATATACAAAGAAAAGTGGTTATATTTGTTATAGTGCTGGTGGCCGATACAATATGCATATATATATATATATATATATATATATATATATATTGCACGATGTGTATATATTGCACGATGTGTTTATGGGAAAGTTTCATCATGTACATATAATTGTTATGTGTACGTTGCTCTTTTTTCTTTTTGCTTTTCTAATTTTTTTCAAATAAATGAACATATCTAATCTATGCTCAGCTCTTTATCGATCAATTTATATTTTGAATGAAGGAGATGGGTTCCTTCAGTTCTCTAGAACCAACCCTAATAGCTTTTTCATTTTTGTGTTTATTATGGGAGCTCTGTATGCAATGCTTCCTTTCACTCTATTGAAACGTTTCAATTTGTGTGTCTCCAGTCTTTCTGCTGAGGGTTCTGTTATGTGCGAGTTTTCTTTTTCCTTATTTTCTTTGTCAACCCACTTCCGCTGGCTGAAAAAGCTCTGCTAAAGTTTATCTAGCACCTTCTGCTTGTTTCTCAGCACCGTCGAAAGCATAGGCAAAGGGATTCTGAATTCCTGCGCGACACTCGATTTTGTTCGGCCTCTTTACTCCACTTTCTTAACTCTTTCCTTACCACGGGAAAATTGGCCTATTTTTGTATGTTGCAGCTAGGAATTTTCTGTGCCGTCGCTACTAGATTTACAGTGCCATGCAATACATCAAAATGAAGAAGAATGAATGTACTTTTGAATGCTTTTTATTTTAAAACAATAAAGAAAATTTATCTGGTGAAAAAAATTTGTATACAAACAAAATGAAGAAATTTCAAAAATTTTATTTGAAGATGAAGCAATATCTCAGACAAAATTTTTCTGAGAAATTTCGAAATATACAAAATTTTTAGTAATCACAGGGCAACATTATTTATAAGAATCGTTAAAATTGACAAAGCTGTTTTTGAGTTTGTATAACTTTATATGCATGCTAGTAATGGCTGCCTATGATCTGATTTTCTGTGAAATATGGGTGTTATTCAGTAAAAGAAAAATTCCTTATACTGTTGAATTACTTGTGTTGTTTTGTGCTAAAAAGCTGACATAAGATGACATTTAATAATTGATAATGACCTGGGTTTTAACTATGGCCCGTCGTTTACAAAATTCTCTTTGTTTTCAGAGTGGCCTGAATCCACCACTCACCAAATCGCTTCAATCTTCTTCTGGATCATCGACAGAGTCTCTGTCATCCAATCGTGCGGTACCCTAAACTTTATCAATTTAAAAGAATAAAATGCTTAATAAATAAAAATGTCACTGAAACATGCAGATGATAATTGTGAATAGGTGTGCTGTGGAGCTGTTAATATTTGAATATGGCTGAAGGAGCCGTTGTCTCCTCTTCGGGGACGCATGCCTCCTTTCTGCCTTCTTCACCTGCTCTTGTGTTCGTTGCAATACACTCAAACCATGATATTGTCACGGTTATTAGCCGTAAACACAAAAGGACGAAGAAGCCAGCATCATGAGCGGCAGTCTCTGGCGTTTTTCCAGGAAGACAACGTTGCGCGTCTGCTCTTGCGCTTTGTTTTTGTATGTGAATAGAGCCTTGCTGTTAACGTCGAAAGGAAGCCTTGTGTCCTGTTCTTTGCATGTTGCGACACTGGGGGAGGTGCGGGGCTTCTATGACTGATGCTCGAGACTCCTCCACGGTCCGGCACTTCAAGTCCGACACCGGAACCTGTTCCTTCAGTGGATACCCCCGTCCACCACTACAGTCGCCGACAGGGAGGCCTTAGTCCTGAAGTGATTCCCCTGGAACTTTCCCAGCAAAGCACTCTGCCTGGAGAAATGGCAACTGCAGGTGCTTCCCAGCTGACTTTTGAGCAGCCTCAGATTCCGGAGACATTCCATGGTGAGGCGTATGAAGACGTCGAGGACTGGTTAGCCCAGTATGAGCGAGTCACTAAGGCAAACCGCTGGACCACCGAGCTAAAGCTTTCACGCGCCTACTTTGCTTTAGCAGACAGTGCTCATACGTGGTATGAGAACCACGGGGCAATGTTGTCTTTATGGGATGAATTTCAGCAGCAAATTATCAGCACCTTCGCAAACAACGACCACCTTTACTTTGCTCAGCAACTCATCGGGGGGCTCTAAATTAAACTGAAAGAAAAAAAGATGATTATCAGTTCATGTTGCCCACCCTCTCTGAAACCTTTCATTCACGCATTGGCTGTCCTTGTGACTAGGTCAGTATGCATCACTTGTAAGTGCACTCGGACCCACTTCAATTTCGCTAGTGGCAGTGCCGCTAAGGCAGCTTTCAGTGGGCCAAGTGGGGTTGCTGGTAGGTAAGTTATTAATGGTAGACAGGTACGCAATTCTTTTTAACACCAAAGACTTGGCAGATGCTTGAGTTTTTAAGTCAAGAGTAGACAGTGAAAGTGTAATTAATCACACGTTGCTTTCACAGTGGGCTTCTACAATGAGATGTTTTTGTTAATAATCTTATCTTGAAGAACTAACAGCATGTGGACCTTTACTCTAATATTTTTCGACAGTCCAGGAAGACTATCAAGTTAAAACATAAATGAACATAACCTGTTTTGCTGCAGTTAACTTTAGTTGATGCAGTTGACGTGATCTATATTTTTTGGAACTACATACTAGCTTTCACCCCCAGGGTGAGGTCGAATGAAGCCTTTTTGGTGACTTGAAAAAATTCTTTCCATCGTTACTCTGGTTGTATGAGTTGCCTTTCTTGTACCAGTGTATCGGTATTAAGAGGCTCACGAAACTGTGCTGACGAATGCCATTTCTGCAGAGCAAAGTGGTGATGAGATGGCTCGTGAGGATGTTGCTGAGTTGGAGCGTTGGGAGCAGGAGCAGATGAAGAAGGTTGTCAGCACTGCACCGGTAAGTTGAGAGTGTTTCTTTTATTCACCAGCTGCAGTTCTTGCTGCGCAAAGTTGGATTCAAATAGCTCGGCTATGACCATGTTTCTGTAAAGAAAACTCTCATTTCTCTCCCCTAAATATCATCTTAAAAAAGCACTTAGACAAAAATATTGCACCCTGTTTTTTTTTGTTTTTTTTTGTTGGAATAGGTAGGTTATGACCCACTTATAGCGGCTAGAAACCTCGTTTGCGCGAGTGCGCGACAGTTACTTATTTAGTGAGGTTTTAAGTGCCCATCTCAACTTTGCTTTCAAAAGAGCATCGAGCTAGATAGGAGCACTCCCGGGGGCAAGGTAAACACAGCTGGGTTGCACTGTGTGCACTTTTATATTAATTTTGAATATGGTCTAGGCTATATTTGCCCTTGGTATCTCGTAGATGTTGTGTATGTCTCCACACAAATCTATCTCGCTCATTATCTCGCCTTTGAAATTTTGTGTCATTGCTCCTTTAAGTCATGAATTTCATCGTATGACTTTTGGACCGTTTGATTCCTGGCTGTTCAAATTTTTGCATGAAGCAAATTTGTTAGTGTATCTATGATGCTCGGTAGTACTGCCCCTAAGGGCAAGGTTTTGAAAGGAAAATTTAAAAAGTATGAAAATCTTCCTGCTTGCTGAGTTATGAACCAATAATCTAATAGACAGGAAAGGTGTCCCACATCTGTGCACTCTGTAGAACGCAAATGGGAACAACTTCTGTGAACTAATTACATTGCAATCTCTACTTTCTGAGGTTCGTTCATATAGGGCAGTGCTTGAATGATTAGCCTTTTATTATCATTTTGGATTAAGTGATGAAATCTCACTGAAGGGCTAGTGTCAAAGTGATGTAGCCATTTTAGGAAAGCAGTATCAAACTACCATACTACCCCTTGCTTTTCTTCAGTACGAAATGCCCATGTGCACTGCCAAAATAACATAAAAAGAACAGATACACTATTTCTTGAATGGTTATAATCCAGCGTGAGAAAGACAGATTCACGTGTTTCATTTCTGATGGGTAAACTTCAAATCACAGTGATTTTAGCAGATCTTTGTTATTTCGAACAGTGCTCGATTCGAAGTTCTTCGTGGCCCCATGTTTCAACTGTGTGACTTTTATATAACTATTTCACTGTTAGTGAAACACTGGTTATAACGAATTTAAATTTCCTGCCCTAGGGGGATAAGTACTTTTTTACTGTGAACGTTTACTGTAGCTTGACACTGTGTCTTCATGTCTAATTGCATCCAACAGTGTGCTACAATGCCAACAAGCTCTCGTATGCAGGTTGCAGCCGTCCCAACACCAAAGGGACAGTGTGTGGTGCCAACATGCTTCACAGAGCAGCCCACTGCTGTGTCGGTCCAGGACCGGCAAAACCTCAGCTCACAGGCTGTGCTCGAGCGAATAACAGATCGGTGAGACACTCTCTTGCAAATCTAATTTCTTGCGGCCATGTTTGCGTGCATAAATCTAAGTGGGCAAGGCAAACTGAAAGCATTCTGATGTCACCTTATATTGCATTTTTGTTTATTTTTACTGTACGCATAGCTTCAGTGACTTCCGAGCAAAAATTAAACCTTTACTGCCCAGTGTCACGAATTCTCGTCATACCGAAAAACTTCGAGCAACTGAGTCACGAAATGTGTGCTGCCTTTCAAGTACTCATAGAAAATATAACTTTCAGCATAAAAATTCTGGTGCCATCTCGACTAAGGTATTTTATGCTAGAACCGATTGTTTTGTGATGGATGGTGATGGGTGATGGTGGAAAGGGTGGAACGCATGCAACAGCTCACACGTCTTAGTTTTTTCTCGCCTAGATGATGCAGCTTTTATCTTCAATAATTTTGTTTATTTGGTGTGTATACATACCCAAGAGGTGGCTCACATGTTACGTAGTTCTGAAGTACATTTTTTGCTGGCAAGGTCCTTGCCTTGTGGAGATGGGTTTGCACTAGGCTTACCTACTATGCGCAACCGTGTAGGGATGCGACGTCCTCCACTGTCGCTGCGTGCGAAGACGTTGCGGCCGGGTTCGTCGTTTTTTCCGGCACAGCGCAGAAACCACGCACGAGGCAGGATAACGACAACGTGTTTATTAACCCAAGATGCAGCATAGTGCGACACTCATGGGCTTGCAGGCTGTATAGGGAACTGCAGGCTGTATAGGGAACTCCGCAAGACCGAGCAAGTACGCTTGCCTAGGGCGCGACGACTCTCGCACATGCCAGTGCGGGAAGAAGCCGACGGTTTGCTGGCCCAGACCAAGAGGCGCCCTGGCAGCCATCTTGGTGGATGCCGGTGCTTATGCGCCGTGCTACGTGACGCCAAACATCCGCAAAAAAGTGTTTTCACACTCGTCGCTTAGCTTATAGATGGCGCTGACTGACACTCCTACTTCTAAATTCACATACAAAACCCAAAAAAGTGGATGGAGGGAAGGCCACTGTGGTAGCTCAGTGGTTAAAGCATCGAACGCGTTATTCGAAGGTCGTAGGTTCGATTCCTGCTCACGGCTAGTTATTTTTTTCATCCACTTTTCTTTCTTCTTACTTACATTCCATTGGCTCTGATAACTTCCCCTGTACATTCTTTGGCATTACTGTCTGTTAGATCTCATTAATATTGTTTTAAAACACGGAAAAACGAGCCCTTAGGTATACACTTCTTTCCCTTATTTCGTTAAAAAAACGAGGGTCTCGTACTGGCAGACTTGGTGTCGTTAGGTTGTATACGAGGGACAATCAGCTGCCCGCTCATAATAAGTTCACGTGCTACGTGACGCCAAACATGCGCAAAAAAGAGTGTTTTCACACTCGTCGCTTGGCTTATAGATGGTGCTGACTGACACTCCTACTTCTAAATTCACATATAAAACCCAAAAAAGTGGATGGAGGGAAGGCCGCTGTGGTAGCTCAGTGGTTAGAGCATCGAATGGGTTATTCGAAGGTCATAGGTTCGATTCCTGCTCACGGCTGGTTATGTTTTCATCCACTTTTCTTTCTTCTTATTTACATTCCTTTGGTTCTAATAACTTCCCCTGTACATTCCTTGGCATTACTGTCTGTTAGATTTCATTATATATATATATATATATATATATATATATATATATATATATATATATATATATATATATATAGTTATAAACTTCGAGAATTGTGCAGTATAGAAAGCGAAACAATAAAATGTCTGTTTAATCCTAACAGTTTCGGCCGGTGGACCAGCCTTCTTCAGAGGAGCTAAGCGATATGATACAAGTTCCCGTAGCAGAGGGCCACCATCAGAGTTTGAAGCCCTCCAAAACGAAAAAAAGAAAAAAAAAGAGAAAAAAAAAGAGACAAACGTGTGAACGTATTATTTTTGTCTCAAAGGGAACTGGAAGCAACCTTGAATAGTAGTAGCAGGGTTTGACTTTCGGTAAAATGCAAGTGACAACCTGTATAAAAACCTGTATAAGCTTCTATAAAAAGCTTTCAAACTTAAAGAATGTTGAATCAGTGTGAGGGTAGCGTGTTCATTTAACCATAAGGTTAGGCTTTGCAGTGAGGGTTTTATTTCAGTTTATTTATGGTATAGCACCCCTCCACTGTAGTGAAACCACTCTTACAGGGAGGTAAATGAAGACTAATATACTGTACATTAATTAGTTTAATTTTAATGCTTTAAAATTTTTAATAATATAAATTTTAATGAAATAAATTTCTAATAATGTAACATCCGTTCAAATAGTCAAAGTGCTAAAATATTCACACAATCTTAGTGTTACGGAATTTCTGTAGAAAGGTTTTTTACAGTATGTGTACCTTGAGGAAAATCTGCTGCAACTATCTGTAAGAGAGTGAGTTGGGAGTTGGGGGCTGCTGCGGAAGAACCGGGATATGAATGTGCGATACTCAGATGAAATGTTGCTTGATTCAGGACAGTTATGATCAAGTTAAGCTTTCCTGGAATGAAGTAATCACAAGTATTATCCCATGGTACTCCTTTGCTGCTGTCCGCTTATGTTTAGTTTAACTTGTGAGCAAGGAAGAAAAAGTAAGGCAGCTGGGTTTATTGTGGTGTGCAACGATTTTTTATATTTTTGTAATGTTTCAGTAGCCGGCTATTTTGTTGTTTGTTTTTGCAAAATTGTATAAGCCACCACAAGGTATGGTTTAATAGAAAGGTGTTAGAATAGCATTTTTGCTCAATTTCAGCATAGAGTTTTATGCCATTATCATTGTGAATTGAAAAGTTATAAAAATGGTATGCTACTAGGAAAGATTGGGTTCATATGAAAATTCTTAGATTTTTTAACTATGAAGTTCAGTAAGAATTTTCTTGAAGGTTGTCCTGCAGACGTGTGTACATACATTTTGCTCTTCTATGATAATATTTAGATCAGAAAGGAGGACTGGAACTCATATTTTAAAAAATGTTTCTATGTCAGATAGGCCAAGCTGTCAGAGATGATATTGAAATCAGTGACACCAGTTTTATTTCCATCACAGAGGTTCTGGAACGATATTGCAGCAAGGAAACATTAGTTGAGCTTGTCTTTTTCTGTTGGAATTTTTTTCCCAGCCAATGGAATTTAGAAAGAGAGCTTTTAAATCATATTTCACCCATGTATAAACCGATTTAATGTAGGTCTGTGGGGTTTTCTGTTGTTGACATCTGTGACATGATCCTCCTAACACTTCATGTTATTAGTTAAGGAAGCACACAGAAGAGAGTTTGGTGCATATTGTGTCCTCTGTCACACGTTGCAGACACCCGTGATCCTGGCCTTGGAGGAGTGTATGATGTCTCTGCTTTGTCAGCGCAGTGAGAAGCTTGTGCAGCGTAGGCACCAGGACATCAAAGACCAGGCCGAAGAATGCAACATCGCAGGTGGTGACTTGTTAAAATTCATTGTAACACACTACTCTCTGTCGCTCTTTTACTCATGTTGTGCATGTATATATTGTCACATGGTTGAGATGTTGACAAAAGCAGCAGCTGGCAGTCCAAAATGAAACTGTTAATTTGGCTGAACTTGTGGCTGGTAAATAAAAAGTTAGATTACAGCAGTATACATTGGCACTGATTGCAGCGTGCAGGGCACGGCCATCGATAATTTGATCTGCAAAGGGGCGTGTCGGCATTTATAGATGCGGCAGATAACATTCAAGTATTTTGACTGGTGGCCGTGTTTGTTTGAGAATGAACTAAACTTTTTGTGTTTGCTTGCTCAAGCCTATGAGATGATCCTGAAATACAGTCGATGACCGATAATTTGGACTAAATGAATGCGTGAAAAGAAAGCACTTGTATTGGCTCTTCAGTGAACAGGAGGCCGAAAAAGGCTGTCAATGCGTAATTTGGAATGCTGTCAGACATTCTGACGTGGTTTGAGTAAGGCATTATCAATAAGTGCAATAGGCCAGCAACGTACAACTTGTAGAGAAAGAAAGGGCAGTGTGTGGCGATATGTTGTGGGTAAGGCAAAAGCTTTATGGAAACTTTGCGCCCCAGGGGAGCTATAAGGTGGGCTAGTTGGTGTTGATTCATCTCCAATAGTTCGCTAAGACATAGGATGAATAAAAATCAGACAAATGAATGCAAACATAGCATGAATGAAATTAAATGTCAAGATCATCAACACTTTTTTGATGTTTATCTCAGACATCCGAAGCATAACTAAAAACAGCCTAAAACCCGGCTCTTGCTATACAAGGACTTCTTCTCATTGTCAAGTATTTGGCAGACTCCAGTTGCGAAACACCGCATCGCAACAGCGGAAAGCACCAGACCACTTCGTCAGAGCCAGTACAGTTTTAGAGCAAGAACACGAGACTGTAAGAAAACAAGTCGGCGAGATTCTGCACTACATCATCATCCATCCAGTTCATGGGCATCTCCCGTGGTGCTAGTGAAAGAGGATGGGACTCTTATGTTTCTGCATCGATTATTGCTGCTTGAGTATTATCATGAAAAAGAACTTGTACTTTCTCTCGCGGACATACGATGCCCTGGATTGACTCTACAGCAAGAAGTATCTTTCATCGATGCACCTCAGGGCCGCCTATTATCAAATCGAAGTCGACGAGAGTAGGCTTGTGCAAATGGTGAGATGATTTTAGGTGATGATTTTAGGTTCAAAGCAAAGTCAAGAAGAATAGTAGTTTTGGTCAAACAACTTTAAATTGAATTTGAATGGTATATATATCGTATACTATAAAGTAAAATGGGCATATTTGTCATGGCCCGACACAGCAGAATGTTTTTTAAAAAAAGGGAGAAGGCCTGTGCAAATTCTCATATTTTTGCATCAATAGAAGTGGAAACAACTTTGAATAGTAGCAGTATTTGAGTTGCGTTAGAATGCAAGGGATGAACTGCAAAATAAGTGACATTTTAAAACTTGCTATACTTTAGCATGCAAGTCGGTATAACAAGCTTTCGAACTTAAAAAAATGAATCAATGTGAGAGTAATATTTTTATTTAATATTGAAGTGAGGCTTCGTGGCAGAGCGGATTTCTTCTAGGTATGCGTTTTCATGGCTTATCACTACAATACTGCAGTGAAACTACTTTTACATAAGGCGTTTTCACGGTTTAGCTTTTCTTCACTGAAGTGAAACTACTTTTACAGTATGTTACATGCGGATTAATATGCATGTATTTGATCGTTCGAAATAATTTGAAATTTTCAATAATTTGTATTCGATTCTAAGCAAATTCGAATGGTGCATTGTTCATTCGAATATTTGAAGCATTTGACTATTTGCACAAGCCTAGACGAGAGGTAATGTGAGAAGACTGCTTTTACAACAAAAGACAGCCTCTTTGAGTTCAAGGTCTTAGGTCTTTTGCTCAGCACCTGCGACTTTCCACAACGTTATGGATAGAGTACATCTGGGATTGAATTGGACACAGTACACAAAGCAATGAGCGCAGTAGCACTTCTGGTGCTATTTGCATCCCAGGCTTACTACCAGATGTTAAGCACTGGCATGTACAGACATAGCTGCTTGCATATTTACAATGCCTGCCCGGTCACTGTGCACCTGCCATGATGACTAGAAACGTATAGTATTTTTCTATAAGCTTGGTGTTTGTAGTAATTCAGGCAATAATAGAGAGTTTTCGAGTGGGGGCTCCAATCGTTTTGGGACCCAAAGAAATAGCATCGAGCCCACTGTGCATGCGCGGTACCCAAACAGGCTTTGGGTTTTGCATTGGGGACGCTATTTCTCGAATTAAGCAGCAGCCCCAAAGCCTGCCCCAAAAGCTTTGCGTCAGACAAACGTGATGGCACCCTCTGAAGTGACGGCTCTCAGCTAAGACGGGAATGACATAAAATATAGGGGGAGTGTCCAAAGCGCCGCAGACCCAATTCGAAAACTCTTCACTCCCCGGCTTGACCCAAAGCATGCATACGGCTTTGGTTCCCCAAACTTTTGAGCCTCCCTCAAAACTCCCTAATAACATGATTGTTTGGGTTTTATGTTGCAAAACCACTAGATATACTTATGAGGAATGCTATAGTGGAGGGATCAGGAAATTTTGGCCCCCTGGGAGGTTCCTTAACATGCATTTAAATATAAGCACACAGGGTTCAGTGATTGAAATAGGAGAGTCACTTGATGTCAGCCATGTGTCCATTTGGGCTGGTTGGTACATCTTTTCAAATAGCAAACTACTGAACAGTATCAACATGAGCCCTTTTTCTTCCTGTCATGTACATGATCTTTGGGGAAAAGAACCAGCTCTGTCCTGTGTATCATCCTGTTTTTACCTTTTCATTATCCTGCTGTCTAGTGAAGTCACTGAAGTCAGAGTTTCTTAAAAAAATTTTTTCTTTCTACAGTGAAGGCGATGCGAGGCCAGCCCGTAGAGGCTAATAATCAAGGCAGCCAGCAACGAAGTTGGCGGGCAGCTGAACGAGAAGGCCGCAGGTGGGTTTTATCTTCTTGAGATCACATTTGACAATAATATGCCGTCATTGCTAGTGCATTTACCCGCCAGTTCATAATTCGTGAGCTGGTCAGTGTATTTCTGTTGCCTGGCGAATTCGGCAAGAACAAACTGCACAAGTATACGTAAACAGGGCAAGTACAATTGGCCAGATAATTTTATTGTCTACTTTGGAACAGAATCAATGTAACAGTACACTATGATTGCACAGACAGACATTTGAAAAGACTTTTATATACACGCGTCAGAGACTATCTGGGCATTACCAGGAAGGGTTTACAATGGTAAATAGCACTAGTACAGGGTTAAATAGTTGCTCCCACGGTCAAAAGCATTATTCCAAATGTGCTATCCTCCTATGAGCCCTCTTATCTTCACTTGCAGGCAAAACAGTCGACTGGTGAATTAGCCAGTTATTTTTTATCATTTGCTAATAAACCCATAGACAGTCATTCACGTAGCATACAGTTTGCTCAGTGTTGACCTCACATCTTAGTGTGGTCTCATTTAGTCCATGTCTCCTTGTGCTGAATGTATTTATATGTTTCAATTGACATAGCTAATGAATTGCCAATAACTAATATCAAGAAATGGTTGTCAGAATGGCCAGGTAACCTGATGTGTTGTTTGTAGAGTGCGCAGACACAAGGCTCGTGAGGCCCAGCATCAAGGCTTAGCACAACCACGGAATTTGGTGCATCACGGTGGCATGTCCACCGATGATGAGCAGCCCGATGCCGACAGGCTGTCCTTCGACAAGGAGCGAGGTGGGTTTGCTAATTTGTGATGTGGGCACGGCAAAGTGTTTTCATTTTTTGCTACAGAAGTGTAACTTAGCTTAGTTGTTCAAAAAGGAAAACTGTCATCTGCCTGTGTGTTCCACAAATCTACAAATCAAACCCATATTAATTTTTGTGAAAGTTTTGTAGCCAAGTAAAAAGTTACTAGACCAAATTTAACCTTTCTTGAGCTGTAAAGCTTTATGGTAAAATAGTGTGAATGGCTGAACAACAAGAGAACAAACAGGAAAAAGTGAAGAAATTAAATACACGAGTTCTTAGCTCAGCTAGTCAGTTTACTTACACTGCTAAAAATTGAACTTAACATTTTAGTGATATGTGATGCACATGCACACTTTCGTTTCTTCTGTTTTCAGTTACTTTCATATCTGTGTAGATTAGACTTGAATACTTGCATCAGAGCCAACATTTACCAGCCATATTTGCAGTGGCATGACTCTGTTGTCTTGAGCTCTTGCATACACTAATCATTATACTAAAGAATTTGACTTCCTGAGCACTGTACTTTATGACAAAATAGTGTCAACGATTAGTGCTTTGTCCTCTTTTTTTTTTCTTTTGCTCTCCAGTTGTTTATGCTGTTTTGCCATAACTCATCTAAACTGCTATAACTATAATCCTGTAGGTATGCCTAGTTTTTTGGCCAGGCAGCCCCGGGGTAGAATAATGCTGACACGAGAACAGAAACACTGGGCGTGGCTTATTCCTTGGCAGCTGATTTAAAGCGGTTGTAAAATACTTTGCCATGATGTCAGCCTGACACCTCAGTGAATGCCAGTTTCTTGGTTATCACTTTGACAGCAGGACTGATAGTTGGGCTAGTTGGTGATAATATGGGCAGTGCCAGTGCACAAAATCGCGGGACAACTGAGAAGAGAAACAAACAAGCGCTGCTTTTGTCTCTTCTCATCATCCCGTGAGTGTGTGTGCTGGTACTGCCCATAATGTATCACTTTGCAGCAAAAACCAACTAGTTCACCTTCTGTGCAAAGCTTTCTAAAAAATCCACATGAATTTCCTTTGCAGCTTAGTTCTTAAAATGAGCGTACAACAATTCTTTCCTGTACGTGACCCTTCTTTTCTCGTTTATCCTCAATTTTTGTATACTATGCTCATTTTATTCAATTATAGCCTGCACAAACACTATCTTAATTGCAGATTGGTTCACATTCTCATTCAGCATCTCACTGTGCCTTGTGCAGTCGTACACACATTTTTTCGAATACCATTGTTCTTGTTTCAAAAAGCTACGATCAATTCGTCAAGACGTGTGCAAAGCTTTTTACATTTGTAAGTCTACTTGATGCTTGTGTTAAGCAAACTCCAGTGATGTTGCACACATAAAAATAATTAGTGTGCTACTTCAGAAAACAAATTTTGCCTGCAGTTGGCCTAATTTGACATGTGCAGTTGTGTGTATAGGTTCACGCTTTTGGCCCAAATAGTTTTTCAGTAGTGAGGCAACACTGTGTGTCTGCCCTCTCTCCTGTATTCACTTTCCACATGCTGTTCGAGAAATGAATAAGCACCGATTCAGCGTGCTTGCCATTTTGCTTATCAGTCTCCTTTCAGCAGATAATCGGTGGGTCTGGAATTGCAGAGCTAATCCTGGATGATGCAAGGCACGTCTTTGAAGATGTAACTGAGCAGTTCAGCAGTGTGACTGCCCTGAAGCAGAAGTTTGAGCGCTGGAAGGGAGACTTCGGTAATCTTACGAGCAGGCATACATTCCTTTGTGCTTGGTCAAGCTCCTGGTGCCCTTTGTGCGACTTCAGGTGGCTGTTTGGAATCCCATTGAGGTTGGACATTTTTCAGATGTACTTTTGCATTGTTCACTGGAAAGGAACAGAGGCGTGAAGAATTCAATGAATTGACTACAGCAGTGGCTCAATCGTATGTGGTTCTGCTGTTGGTGTCAAGTTCTGATTCCTTGCCATGAGGGTGTATTCTTAATAAGGTGAAATATGTAAACAATGTTTGGCTCTGCCACGGTGGTCTAGCAGCTAAAGTACTCGGCTGCTGGCCCGCAGGTCACGGGATCGACTCCCGGCTGCGGCGGCTGCATTTTCAATGGATGTGAAAATGCTGTAGGCCCCAGAGCTCAGATTTGGGTGCAGGTTAAAGAACCCCAGGTGGTCGAAATTTTCGGAGCCCTCCACTACGGCGTCTCTTATAATCATATGGTGGTTTTGGGACGTTGAACCCAACATTGTCTGTCTGTCTGCCTGTCTGCCTGCCTGTCTGCCTGCCTGCCTGTCTGTCTGTCTGTCTGTCTGTCTGTCTGTCTGTCTGTCTGTCTGTCTGTCTGTCTGTCTGTCTGTCTGTCTGTCTGTCTGTCTGTCCGTCCGTCTGTCTGTCTGCCTGCCTGCCTGCCTGCCTGCCTGTCTGTCTGTCCGATCGTCCGTCCGTCCGTCTGCCCCGCCGCGGTGGTCTAGTGGCTAAGGTACTCGGCTGCTGACCCGCAGGTCGCGGGATCGAATCCCGGCTGTGGCGGCTGCATTTCCGATGGAGGCGGAAATGTTGTAGGCCCGTGTGCTCAGATTTGGGTGCACGTTAAAGAACCCCAGGTGGTCGAAATTTCCGGAGACCTCCACTACAGTGTCTCTCATATTCATGTGGTGGTTTCGGGATGGTAAACCCCACATATCATCATCTGTCCGTCCACTAGTCTGGTTGTCCGTCCGTTCGTCCGTCTGTCTGTCTAAACATCTAAACAGTGCTTGCTTTCAGTGACATTCAGTTCAGTCAGGATTTAATGACAATCATAATGCTATCATCTAAGTATCTTTAAGGTGACCATTGAAATACACTTTAATAAAACTAACTAACTATATAAAACTAAGTAAAAAAAAATTGCTGCTGAAAGTGATTTCTGGGAGCACTTCTTGCAATAACAAGATCAATAAAAATTTGTTATTGTGAAATCTGGAATATTTGATCTCTGTCTATAGTGTGTCCACATGAAATAGTCTTCTAAATAAAACTTATTGATCAATGTCTTTGTTTAAGGATAGCAAAGATGCAGCTTGTCATAGACTTCTGCAACCTGCTTCCTGTCTGTTCTATGCGACTTGGTGGTCGATTCATTCTGTTAAACTGTAGCACAGTTTGTTGAGTGTAGTACTTTTGTCTCCAAAGGGTTCTATTCTACATATTGCTTTGCAGCATTTCATTAAAGCGATGTTTCTCTACTTAAAACTCAGTAGCAAAAAGGGGATTATAGAGCAAAGTTTGTTGTTTGCCAGATCAAAGTAATGCTTAAATATATGAAGTGTCAGTGTGTGCACTCAAAGCTCAGTGATATGAGAGATGTATTGTCATTATGGTTGCCAGCTGTGGAGTTTTGGACTGGCCCGGACCCACCAACATTAAATTGGCTTCCTTTATTTTTTATTCCCTCCCCCCCCCCCCCTTTTTTCAGAGCAGTAAGCGCAGCGTCATTGTGATCACGGGTATTTTCATGCCGCCAATTAGACTAGTAGGTTAGCTCAGTGTGCTATTTTTATTTGTACATCAGGTTTATTTGGCAGAAGAAAAGCAATGTTACATTAAATGGCACTGCATGCCAAAGACCTGACATGGCATCTATTGTTCAATGCTATTGTGATATTCTGGTGGCTCATCCCCCCCCATTCAAGGGCCAGAACCCTAATTATCATCTTTGATTTGGTAATGTCATAGTCTGAGTTTTAATGTTGTGTATATTGAGAAAAGTAGAATTTAACCAGCATTTCTTAGAGTCTGCATTGTGTTCTCTTGTGAGCTGCACTTTGCCTAAACTTCCATTCCTCAACTGTCTCCACTTTTCAATTATTTATTTATTTATTTATTTTTATTTTTTGAAATAGTGGGAGGCCTACACTATCTCACATTCCACGTCAAATTTTTACCGTGCTGTAAATGTTATGTCTGCTTTTTGTCAATTCTCAAAGTTCTAAGCTACAGCTTCTGCACAAGATATATTTTTGGGAGCAAATTGATATTGTCTTGCAGATGCTGTAGGTTCCAGCACGATGAGCTTATTTTTAGCGGGTGTATGAGAGGTAGCGAGCACAATTCGGAATGGTGGCAATGGACAATGATCGGTTTTAATTTAAAACCACTTGGGATGACCAGAATCAGTATAGCTTGAACGATTATAATCTGTGCTTTCTGTATTGCCGTGGTCACTGCCATATTGTACGTTTTTTTGCAGCTGCCAATTTTGATCAGCAAGAACTCTGTCCTTGGAAGTTCTTCACCTGCCCACATTCATCTAATTGCGTGGCAGTACCTTGTGCAGAAGCCCGAGAGTCCTGAAAGCTGTGGGTGGTATAATGCACTCCTGTTCTGTGGTGAAGACACACCTGAAGACCCTGATCTGTGCCTCCTGCCCCGCATTGTGGAGCGTGTCCTCCTTCCAAAGATGGCTGGTCTGTCAACTTTCTCTTTGTGAAGCAACTGTTCCGTGACAAGTGAGCACACTTGGAGTAAAAGGTGCACAACCGAATTGGCTGTGTGCTCGAGATGAAAAACAAGGAGCATATGAGTAAATTTGTAACAGCTAAGTTTCCATTTTATATCAAGCTTGTGTTGAGCTTGCTCCAGAAGTCCTGTCCTTCAACCCTGTGGTTGTCTTCAGGTCATCGCTGCATTGAACAGATTTTACGTGTCTCGATAAGCGGTCTCGATCATGAGCTCTGAAACTTTTAATGAGCTTTGTGGGAAGCTCACTCTTTCGATGAAGCTCTATAAAGAAAGTAAAGGAAAAACCTTTTCTAGGACTGATACAAGACAGCTAGATGAATATATATATGTGCTAAAAAAGGCTAGACAAGTAGAAACAAAAACAGATTGATAGCACAGTGACAACATATAGTATGTGTCTCGTGGCTGTCGCTGTGTTGTCTCATGATGCACTTTAGTGAAACACAAAACAGTTTTCATCTTGATGCACATTTTGTGAAGCATAGAACAAGGCTACCAAATTTGTTTTAAAACATGTTGGCCAGAGTATAACTGAGAGACTGTGTGGAATTTGACCTTACTAAACACACCTAATTGTTGTACTTACTAAGGTTGGAAGTGACGGATGGAAGTTGTAAATTAGTTTGTTGTGCGCAGCACTAGCGAAAATGTCTGGCACCGCATGTCCAGCACCCAGACACTGAACCTGGTGTGGACAGCCAAGAAGCTGGTTGAGGATTACCCAACTGTCAATGCCCAGAGTCGGCACTTACAGGTTTGCCTCACTTTTCTTTGCTGTTTTTGTGTGCGTGTCTTCCTGTGCACCTGGTACATCATTCTACTGTGCTTTCTTATCAAGGTGCAAGCTAGTGCCTCATCACAAGCTGGCCTTGAAAAATGCAGTGCGCAATACAAAAATTTGCGTGATCTTTAATCAGGAACAACCTGGAATCGAGGTTACTAATCTCTTTTTTTCAAATGATTCTGAAGAACTTGTTTTTTTTCCTTGTCGTACAACTTGCAGAACTTCATGGCCAAGATGGCTGCACGCATTGGCCGAGCTCTAGATGAAGATGTCTACATTCCATTATACCCTAAAGAGTAAGTGACACTGCTGGTCTTTTCTGTTGTGGCCTCACACATTCTGCTGTCTTTACAGGGTGTTGGAGAACAGGCCGGGCACACCTGCAGCCTTTTTTCACCGCCAGTTCTGGTCCTGCCTTAAGGTTTGTATTGACAGCGAGAAGACGAACAACCTTTCATCTTATCAAAACAAAGCTTGCATAAATGTACACTAATGACATCAGTGTGTGCACCTGCCAAGGTGGCTAGTTAGCTAGCTGACCACCGCTCACATATTGTGCTCACGGCTCAAAAAACAATCTCTAGAAAATGAGGTTGCAGATCTCAAACTGCACTTACTCTCTTAGTTAGCTGGCTAACTGTGACCAAACTCTATGATTAGTTTGGTTTATGGAGTTTAATGTCTGTTATCAACCGAGCTTATGCGAGTTGCCGTCAACTGCCATGGCTGGGATTGAACCCATTCCTTTCGAGTGAGTAGCCATGCACCATAACTGCGGGGTCATCACAACAGCATAAAAGATGAATGTTCATGATGTGTTGCACCTTATGAAGAATGTGCCAGCTGGCAAGGTCTGCTGGCTGAAGAACCACTCAAGGAGCTCTTCTTGTGCAGCCTCTTGAGCCGTTATCTCATTGTGGCCCTCCAGGCTGGCCTCTCTCAAAGGGACACAGTTGAAAAATGCACTCGCGTGAGTGACTTGCCTTTCCGTGGCCATTTTAAGGCTCATTTGTAGTTTATTTTGTTTGTTATTTTTTCCAAGGAACGTATCCTCATGGTATTTAGTGAAAATTGTTTGATATTTTTTGCACTTTAGGAGGTTCACATTGAATAAAATGTCCTGGGAAGCAACTGCACTGGGCCAAGTCTGCCAGTGCAGGCATTACTCAGTGATGTTTTGGTTTGACCTCTAGCTGGATGAAAGAAATTAAATGAATGGCTTCATGGAAAGTTGGCTTGCAAAAAAAAGAAGAGTTCGGCAGCAGTTGAAGTGTGTCCATTGACTGCAATTGTGTCACATGCTTATGCAGCTGGTGTCAACGCTGCCGACACCATGGCTGCGCGAGAGCCAGCTTCCACAGCTGGAGTTGTTAACACGCTTTCTACGATTCTACCTGCAACACCTGGAGGGTGTCTCTGGTTCTTCCAACCTGGGACCAGATATGCATGCAAGGTATATATGTGGCAAGTGTTTTGAACAAAAAATTCTTTGAAATGACTGTAGGATGCCAGCTCTTTTGCATGTGATATTTTACAAACAAGCATTCTTTAAATACTTTGGTGGCACCTAGGAGGACCAGTGCCACATGAGTAAACCTCTCTTTTTTTTTCCCCAGAAATGCTCTCGAAGAAGTTGGAAAGCTACTGGCTTCACTTACAGACAAGACGAAATGATGAGATGTATGTTGGAAATAAAAAGACACACCTTCACATTGCAGCATTCTTGCAGCAATGTGAGAGTGCTATATATGCAATGTGTGTTGTCACTTTTCGTTCTTCATTATAATTTTCTCAGTGTTATTTAAATACGTTGCCATTGATTGCAGTTTCAAAGTGGAACCGTCCAGTACCTGAATTTGTTTACGAAACTGACATCTGACGGAGCCCTTAAACTTTGTTGTGTTGAATATTGCTAGTGACACTGCTGTATTTATTGTTATACAAGTATTGTTATCAATCGCTGTTCTTTTTCCGAGTCATGTTTGCCTGCATTAGTGTGAAATAAAACAATATTTGACTTGTTTGGTAGCCTGTATTCTCCCTCATTTTTTTTTGTTGTTTGGCTTCTGCTTACCCAATGTGCAGAAATAGCAAAGGCTGTACGGTATGGTTATGATGCTACATAATTTTGACTCCTCCATCCACTTGTCCTTGCCGCCCCGCCGCGGTGGTCTAGTGGCTAAGGTACTTGGCTGCTGAACCGCAGGTCCCGGGATCGAATCCCGGCTGCATTTCCGGTGGAGGCGGAAATATAGGCCCATGTGCTCAGATTTGGGGGCGCGTTAAAGAACCCCGGGTGGTCGAAACTTCTGGAGCCCTTCGCTACGGCGTCTCTCATAATCGTATGGCGGTTTCGGCACGTTGAACCCCACATATCGATCGATATGTGGGGTTTGTCCTTGCCAGTGGTTCTGACGGAGTTCTCCCGTGTGCACAAACAAAGTTTCGGTGGTTGGCCACCGAAACAAAGATTTTATTTTATTTATTTATGAATACTGCAATCCCTACTAGGGATTTTCGCAGAGTGGGTTACATGAATTACATGAATGCTCAATATGCAGACAAATTTTCAAAACAGGAAGATAAAAACACACAGAAACTAAAGTACGCACACAGCAACCTAAATATGCAAAAATTCGAATGTTTATGGGGACAGAGCTTAATTGGCATGCTATATTAAACACTGTTATCGAGGCTAGAAGAAAACAGTGTTAAGGATGGCTGTAAAACTTCGGTGTTGGTTAGTTTGTTCCAGTCGTTTATAGTTCGTGGAAAGAATGAATATTTAAAGCAGTTGTTACGGGTTGCATAGGGTGTTATTGTGCGCTCATGCCTTTGTCGAGTTGCATATCCAGACGAAAATAAAAGAACTTCAGAAATTTCTATCTTGTAATGTCCCTTTATTAGTTGATATAGAAATTTTAGTCTAGATACGCGGTTTCTTTCTGTTAGTGTTGGTAGATTAGCTCGAGCTGAAAGTTCCGTGATTGAAGTGCGCCCGAAGCTGTTATAAATAAATCGAATGGCCTTTTTTTGTACTCTTTCTAGCTTGTTGATATTAGTTTTGGTAAAAGGGTCCCATATAATGGAAGCATAACCCATAGTCGGTATAACTATTGTTTTATAAGCCAGAAGGCGGACGGAGGGGGTTGAGAGTTTCAATGCCCTCTGAGGAAGAACAGCTTAGGCATCGCAGTGTTAGTTACTCTATTAATGTGTTTCGTCCAATTTGGGTCATCTGTGATCCATATGCCAAGATACTTGTAATGTGGGACTTGGGAAAGTTTAGTATGGGTAGTGAGTACTCGTATTCTAAAGGATTCCTTTTATTAGTTATTTGCATAAACACTGTTTTTTCGAAGTTAATAGCCATTTGACACCAGGAGGACACTTTTTGTAGAGCATCATTTAACACGTGTTGGTCTGCAGGACAGCATATTTCGTTATAAAGTACACAGTCATCAGCGTAGAGTTTGATTTTAACAGGGATGCCATCAACAATATCATTAATAAACAGGGGAAAAAGAAGTGGTCCTAGCACTGAGCCCTGAAGAACGCCAGAGTCAACAAGCTGTCTATGTGAGCAGGAATTGGCAAAAACAACAAATTGTTCGCGTTTTGTGAGATATGCAGGAATCCAGTTAACTACTTGGGAATTATTGATTATTCTACCTATCTTATATATCAGTTTAGTGTGGGATACTTTATCAAAGGCTTTCGAAAAGTCCATAAAAATAACGACAGTCTGTGTTCTACTATTTATTGATTTGGCAAAGTGATGTATTGTTTCAACTAACTGAGTGTTTGTCGAATAACCTTTCCTAAAACCATGCTGGAATTTGGTAAGAACGTTATAGTTGTCTAGAAATTCGCAGACGTGATTGTAAATGATATGTTCCAGAATCTTGCATAACGTACATGTTAATAAAATTGGACGATAATTTTTAACGGAGTTATTTCCGGTCTTGTGAACTGGTTTAATTCTAGCGGTTCCCCAGTCTCTTGGTATTTCTCTATTTTGTAAAGACTTGCAAAAAATGACATGAAGGTATTTTGACACCCACTCAGCGTACCTTTTCAAGAAGCTATTAGGAATATTATCAGGCCCTGGTGAGTTTTGGCATCAAGCCTTAGCAGAAGATTAAATATACCACGTTCAGAAACAATGACATCAGACATCGGTGGTAGGGATGCATGAAACACGGGGGATATACCATTATCTTGGGTGAACACCGATTTAAAATGGTTGTTAAAGGCATGGGAAATTTTTGCGCTATCGTGAGTTAGGCGGCCATCAACTTCAAATGTATCACATTCAGCAGAGTGTGGAGAAATCGAACGCCAAAATTTCTCAGGAGACGTGGCGATAAAGCTTGGTAATGATTCACCGTAATAGCGCATCAGCAGCTACTTGGTCTTTAATTTGTAAAGAAAGTTTCGATATTTCTTGCATTATTAAATGATGTTCTGTTGTTTGTTAACCTTTTCTTTAAGCGCTTCAGTCACCTTTTAGATTGATATGTCTCCCTCGAAATGCATGGGTTTTTACCCTTACATTTTTGTGTAATCTTGGATACAAAACAATCGATACATTCATTCACAATCTGTTTAAATCTGTCCCAAAGGTGGTGTACATCACAAGTGCTATTGCAGAAATCATCAAAATAAAGGAAAGCAGGTCAATTATTGACACATCATCAGTAAGAGAGAAATTCGGAAAGGACAAAATTGTACGATTATTGTTTATATAAGTATTGGCTAGAGTAAGCAACACGGCCTTGTGGTCTGAAATTCCCGGAGCTACTTCGCAGTAGCTTTTGGCACTAATGGATTCACTTACTAGAAAAAGATCTAGTACTGATTTGCAATTTTCTTGGATTCTAGTGAAGTCTGTTACAACTTGAAATAGGTCAAAAGTGAAAGCAATGTTTAGCATTGCTTCTCCCAAGTCATCATTTGGATTACTGAGTGAGAAATTCGGCCAGTCTATATTCGGCAAGTTGAAATCTCCAGCCAGAATAACTTTGTCACCAGGTTTTATATTCGAATGTAGATACTCCTTTAACGATTCCAACATGTCAATAGACGAGTTAGGGGGTCTATAAATGACTGCTATTACATATTTAACCTTACCGTGGTACGCTTTGCAGAATATGCACTCAACGTCAGTCAAGTCAGACATTCTCACTATACGCAAACGTTTTTTAAAAAGAATGCAAACACCTCCTCCTTTGCTGCCTCGGTCTTTTCGAATTATAGTATATCCGGCAGGAACAAATTCGCTGTCGTATATTGATTCATGTAGCCAAGTCTCAGTGAGAACTGCGATGTCGGCATCGTGTACTAGTAATATACTTTCGAGTTTAGCAGCTTTATTGATTACACTTCTGTAGTTGATGTTCAATATTTTTAATGACTGATTTTTAGTACTATGTTGTCATGCTCTTTTCTTATTCAGCCTAAACCGTGTCGCCTTTTCCTCGTTCCTACCAAAAAGCACACCGTCTACGCTTAACTTGTCGAAGAGTATTTTGACCTTAGCACCCTGTTCTTTTTCTTGAGCTGCACTCCTCCATAACTGCTTCCGGATTTCCCGAATTCTTTTCGAAAAATCATCAGAGAGTGAAAAATTGGTGTTCTTAAGTTGAGGAAAAGCTTTTAGTACCGCCATTTTCTCACGGTAGTCGACAAACTTTACGATAACAGGTCGAGGTTTCTCAGACGTTTTTCGTCCGAGCCTGTGACACCTCTCAATACCATTCACGGTTATACCCAATATTTCACGGAAAATGTTATTTTTGACTGTCGCCTCCAGTTCCTCGTACATCTCTTTGTTAGGCTCCTTTAAACCATAAATGATGAGGTTGTTCCGACGTCCCCTATTTTCCAAATCATCAACCTTAAGCATCAGCTGTGAAATCTGTTCATCAAACTTAGACACTGAGGTTTCCAGAACCTTCACTTGATTAGTAACAGCATTTAGGTCAGTCAACTGTTTTTCAAATCTATCCAGACGTTCCGTTAAGGTTGAGAGCTTATCTTCGATTTTGTTTTCCGCGGAGAGTACGGCTTCAATTGTTGCAGTCATTTTACTATGTCCCTCTACCAGTTCTAACAGTATATCTCTATCTGTTTTCGAAGGCCCTGGATTAGCCTCTATGTCGCCGCAAGATAATAAGTCATCAGGGAAACCAAGAATGCAGCGAAAAATGCACTTAACACAAAGTGGGCATGGCCGCAGAATCAAAAAACGGTCATCACTCCGGTAACATTTCGTATACCGATAATAACTAACCTGCAGCACGAAGCAAAAGGGGTTGCTGAGCATGGTGCCGTGTTAAGTTTGGCCTGGAAATTCGTCTGGGCAGATGCCATGATGCGTAAGCCGGTCCACTGGAGAGGCTCTCAATCCCTTTGGCACCCAGTCTGCAAGACCCTGTCGAAGATTTGAGTAATTACCCAGACCATGTGACAAGCGAAGGCGAGTTCCTGACTTTCAACTACGGACCCTTTTGTCGTCTCTTCGAGCAGAAGCGGTGACTGATGCCCTCGGCAACTCATCGGGCGACGGGGAAGCTGGCGTGACCGGCGCCAGAGCTGACGGGGAAGAGGCGCTCTTTTAATCCTCAATCAAGTAGCCGACCCGCCAACTGCCTATGCCCACCAGGCATTGTCCCTGCTCCCCGGAGGATGAGACGTCGTGTCGCAACGACATCGTAAACAGTTCCGGAGAGGACAACAAAGAAAGCATCTTCCTGGAAGAGACCGCGGCGGCCACCGGAAATCACCCCGCTAGTTGAGCGAACCGATCGGCGGACCTTTTTAGGTAGGCTGTCAGGTCCGTCGGACCTCTCGACTAGCGGCACACACACGACGAGGAAGAGCCCTGCTGGCGCCACCTTGCAGTGCAGTGTTCACGACTCAATATTGGACGTTCACGTGGACCGTGCATGCTCGCCCCCCTCACCTGTTGTGGGTGTGTGATTGGTGTTCCACTCGGAGAGAAGGAGCCCGACAGGGC